TTTTTAATGGCATCCCAAGCGCATCAAGCGAGACGTGCATTAAACCTGCAAAAAAAAAAATGTACAAAGCTCAAACAGGTGCATGAGCTTCTTTGCCATGCAAAGGGTAACCCATTGAAATCAATGAGTTACCCTATTCATGACAAAACCCTAATTTACACTTCAAGCATCGCATGTGCCACGTGCAACCCAACACACTGACCTATAACCGAATGCACTGGCCTATAACCGAATGCACTGACCTATAACCCAACACACTGACCTATAACCCAACACACTGACCTATGACCCAACGCACTGACCTATGACCCAACGCACTGACCTATAACCCAACACACTGACCTATAACCGAATGCACTGACCTATGACCCAACGCACTGACCTATGACCCAACGCACTGACCTATGACCCAACGCACTGGCCTATGACCCAACGCACTGTCCTATGACCCAACGCACTGTCCTATAACCCAACGCACTGACCTATGGCCTGTACCCCAACACACTGGCCTATACCCCAGCACACTGGCCTGTACCCCAGCACACTGGCCTGTACCCCAACACACTGGCCTGTACCCCAACACACTGGCCTGTACCCCAACACACTGGCCTACAGTATAATCCCAACACACTGGCCTATGACCCAACACACTGACCTATACCCCAACACACTGGCCTATACCCCAACACACTGCCCTATACCCCAACACACTGACCTATACCCCAACACACTGACCTATACCCCAACACACTGACCTATACCCCAACACACTGGCCTATAATCCCAACACACTGGCCTATGACCCAACACACTGACCTATAACGGAAGGTACTGACCTGTAACCCAATGCACTGACCTATAACCCAACACCCTGACCTATACCCCACACACTGTTGGTAAGAGCTTCATAGATTACAATGGTCACTACATTAAATTAGCTTTCAGCAAGCTGTGATCCTGTGTTGTAGCAAAGCTTTGAACGCGCTCCCATTTTTTCCCTTTTTGTTTGTTAAATATACGCTTGAAAGCATTTTGTTATATATCTTCAATAAGTTTAACTATGTACCCATCAATCTCACCATGAAACCAGTAAGGTTCTAACCCTCCGTTCCTGGGCGACACAGAAATTTCAAGCAGTGTTATCAGCCCTGCGCAGTTCATGCAAGTAGAACAACACTCTAAGCCCAACACACTGGCCTATGACCCAACACACTGACCTATACCCCAACCCACTGACCTATACCCCAACACACTGGCCTATACCCCAACACACTGACCTATACCCCAACACACTGACCTATACCCCAACACACTGACCTATACCCCAACACACTGGCCTATAATCCCAACACACTGGCCTATGACCCAACACACTGACCTATAACGGAAGGTACTGACCTGTAACCCAATGCACTGACCTATAACCCAACACCCTGACCTATACCCCACACACTGTTGGTAAGAGCTTCATAGATTACAATGGTCACTACATTAAATTAGCTTTCAGCAAGCTGTGATCCTGTGTTGTAGCAAAGCTTTGAACGCGCTCCCATTTTTTCCCTTTTTGTTTGTTAAATATACGCTTGAAAGCATTTTGTTATATATCTTCAATAAGTTTAACTATGTACCCATCAATCTCACCATGAAACCAGTAAGGTTCTAACCCTCCGTTCCTGGGCGACACAGAAATTTCAAGCAGTGTTATCAGCCCTGCGCAGTTCATGCAAGTAGACTATAAAACATCTCCCCCATACATTATGGAGATAAGGAAAAAGGGGGAGTAGCCCAAAATTGGGAGCCAGCAAACTAGGGTGACAATGTGCCTATCTGATACGTACAGTAAGTGAGCGTTGTCCCCTTAGGACAGAAGTATGTTGCTGGTGAAAATAAAGGAAAACGAATGCAGCTGCCACATCTAAGGACTGGGAAGCTGCAACGCGTTACATTGTTGTTCTTTAGATACACTTTCAATATCAGTCGGTGATTTAGTACTTCAACCTGCTTCCACTAGACCAAAGGAGGGCGACTCTGGCCCTCCAGCTGTTGTGGGACTACAAGTCCCATGAGGCATTGCAAGACTGACATTAACAGCGGCAGAGGCTTGTTGGGATTTGAAGTTAAGGCACAGCAGGAGGGCCGGAATCGGCCACTCCTGGTCTAGACCAACCATTGAATAAGTGTAGGGGGTCGCAGCATCTAAAACCGGCAGCCAGCGGGTAGCCCAGCCGCAGATCACTAAATAGATGAGCGCCCCCCCCCTCCTTTCAGACGACGAAGGCATCCCAGTGTGGTTGGCCATAGGCCCGAGGCCGTTCCTCTGGGACTGCCGGAAAGATCCCGCATGACTGAATTACAGGGCACGGTTACATGGCCGCTCTGCAATATCCTTATTACTTCCTCACTGCTTAAAGAGGGCTTAACCGGGAGAACAAAGCACCATCTTTATTGCCGGGGACTTCAGTTTAAATCCCCCTTGTGACTCTTGAACAGGGGGCCATTGTGCTCCGAAACAAATAAAAATGATATATCCAGGATGTTGCCTGCCAGGGCAGAGTCTCTCAGCTTTGTGTAGGGTTAATCTGTGGCTAGCATTGGGCCCAGTACCTAGCAGAGCATATCTGCATGGAGTTTGTATGGTTAGCCCTCTACATGCTCCATTTTCTTACCTTGATCCAAAAACATTCTGCTACTTCAAGTTTGTAGAGCCAAAACTTCCTGTAGGGTATTGCCCTCTACCTGCCTATTGTATGTTACTCTTCATATTGTGTAACTCTTGGTTGCTTATTATGAATTAATCTGTGTTCTTCAATCGGGTTTTTGTACTCGCTGTATAAACCTTTTCTCTTTAGCCCATTGAAGGACACAGTTTTGATGATATTAAGTAACTAAAGGGTTTTACTGCCACTTACAGGTTTAATGGATTCCTCTTGCAGGTGGCAGGATAATCAGTGGTTGGTTATTAGGACTAAAGCTGTGTCCTTCAATAGGATTTTTGTACTCACTGTATAATCCTTCTCTTTTTCGCCCATTGAAGGGCACAGCTTTATTCATAATAAGCAACTGAGGGTTATACTGCCACTTACAGGAGAAATGGGTTCCTTATGTAGGCAGCAGTATAACCCTTGGTTGCCTATTATCAATAAAGCTGTGCCCTTCAATGGGCTAAAAGGATTATACAGTGAGTACAAACATGCTACCAACGCTATCGTCCATTGAGTGACACAGCTTTGACTATAATAAGAAAGGGTTATACTGCTGCCTACGGCAGAATGTATTGTTCTATATATAACTTTTGGGTGCTTATTATAAATAAAGCTTTGTCCTTTAATGGACGATAGACAAAGTAGGATTTTTGTACTCGCTGTAAGCTCTTCTACCTTCCCATTGTATATAATTTTTCCTGTTGTGTATATCCATTGGTTGCTTGGTAGCAATAAAGATGTGTCCTTCAATAGGATTTTTGCACTCACTGTATAATCCTTTTCTCTTCAGCTCATTGAAGGACACAGCGTTATTGATAATAAGCAACTAAGGGTTATACTGCCACCTACAGGAGAAGTGGATTTCTCATGTAGGCAGCAGGGTATTTCTAGGCTGCTTATTGTCATCAACGTTTTGTCCCTCAATGAGAAAAGGATTATACGGGGAGTATAAAAATCCTATTTTCTTTATCATCTATTGAGGGACACAGCTTTGATTATAATAAGAAAGGGTTATACTGCCTCCCACAGGGGGATTTATAGTTTTATGTGGCAGTATAACTTTTGGTTGCTTATTATCAATAAAGCTGTGTCCTTTAATGGACGATAGAGAAAGTAGAATTTTTGTACTCACCTTAAAATACCTTTCTGTTTCGTCTGTTGAGACATACAGCGGTATTGATAATAAGGTTTATCCCGCCACCTACACTAGAAATACATTTCCCCTGCAGGTGGCTGTATAACCCTTGGTTGCTTATTATCAATAAAACTGTGTCCCTCAACAGATGATAAGAGAATGTGATTTTAAGGCGAGTACAAACATGCTACTTTTTTATCGTCCATTGAAGGACACAGCTTTATTGATCGGCAACCAAGGGTTATATACAATAGAAAGGTAGAAGATTTTACCGCAAATACAAAATGTCTTTTTTTCTTTCTTCAATTGAAGGACACAGCTTTATTGATAACAAGTAACCAAGGGTTATACTGCCACCCACAGGAAAAATTATCCTGTAAGCGGCAGTATAACCCTTACTTTCTCATGATCATCAAAGCTGTGTCCTTCGACTTTATGGTGAGTACAAAAAAAAATCGGGTAGACGAGAGTTAAACAAACTGCTTTAGGACACAGTCGGGAGGTAGAGGGCAATCCTCTCACCCTAGACATTACAATCTGACCATTCAAACTTTGTACAATCAACTTTGCCAAAACTTTGTGAAATGAGGACCAACCAGAACCATCCAGTATGAGGACCAACCAAACCCATCCAGTCAATTTGTATCCAATCAGGCATGCCCTTGCACTACATTGTACAATTTTCTTTAGATCTACCATGTACTATCAGATTGTTACATGTGTGGTGTGCTTAAATCTAATCACAGGTTACGATCGGGTGGTAAATAAATGCCGCTGTACTTTTTTCATCAGATTTTTGCAATGTAATAATAAATTCTGAAATCTCCCGACTGACATCTGCGTCCTAATATTTTTGGTGAAATGTTTCTAAATCAAACGCCGTACCTGTCAGAACAAGCTGGAAGGGGTTTGTTACACTGACACACAATATCGGCATGAGGACCAGAAGCCCTGTGCGTAACCCTGAGCGAGGATTGTAAGAGGTGTCATGTCGCCATCTAGTGGCTGTGAGAGAGAACTACAACTTGTTGCTTCTTGAGGTTGAGAAGGCGATCGGCTGATATTCATGTGATATCTATGGAGATCCGTGCTTTGTTATCAATGTGTCTTTTTATTGTTATGTTTTAGGATATATTTTAATAAATTGTTTTATCTTTATACAGCACGTACGCTCCAGTGCCACGCAGGATCAAAGTGACCAAAGAAAAGGTAAAGTGGACGTATTATCAATAATTTATTATTATTATTATTTGTCACAGTTCCTTGCACATTGATCCGGCGCCGGTTTTTGCCTCCTGTCCGAGCTGCTTGGTTTCCTGTCAGTCCGCCCTGAACCTATGTGTTATAAGGCTTGTGCACCTGTGCTTTACCGTTCAAGCAACGTGTCTCCACGCTAGTAGCCGGACCGCTCTGTTTCCTGTGGCATTGCCGCTTGAGTACACCTTGCATTTTGTGTATTTGTTTGCTCTTGTTGGGTTCAGTGTTCCCTTCCTGCTGCGCTCTTTCATTCCCTCTGTTTTCTGTCCGTGTACCTCTTTTGTTTGCTGTGGCTGTGTGTTCCCTCCACAGCATTGCTCCCTGCTCTGTGTGTGGTTGCCTCCTGCTTCCTGTGGTTAGTGTGCTCTGCACTATTGTGCACCTCCCTCCTTTCCCTTGTGCATTCCCCTCTGCTGTTCCTGTGCATCTCTTGTCTCTGTGGGTACACCTGTTGCGTGCTCCCTTCTGTTACCTGCTCTCTGTGCCACGCATGTTCCCTACTTCTTCCCTCTAGTGCCTGTTTTCTGTATCTTGTATGCACCCTGTGTCTTTTCCCTGTGCTGTGGTCCCTGAGTTCCCTGCTGGCACTGTCCGTGCACAGATGTGTCAGAGAGCCGCAACCTGGGAGCTGGCCCACAGCTCAACATCCACACCATCAGTGGCTCTGGGGAAGACCAGGTGGCTCCTTAGATCCTGCGACTCTGGCACACCTGCGTTTGTTGTGCGGTCACACTGTCCCTGCATCTCCGAAGACCGGTATCACTGCCCATTCCTAGTTCAGTCACTATATACTGCTCCGCAAGACCCTGGGTTTACAATTCCTGGTGCTGCAGTGCCCTAATCGTGACATTATTAATAAACAGGATATATATAGTGCCAACAGTTTGCGCAGTGCTTTACAATTTAAGTTTTGGTTTTTTTACTCTTTATAATAGGGGTGGGAAGCTCACCCCTGTTATAAAGGGGGGGGGATGTGTTCTTTAGCCCAAATGGCAGTTACAACCCTTATAATGTACACTGATCACCCAGAGAGGGTTGTTGTTTTTTTCTCAACAAAAGTGTAGTAACACTTTAACCAACTACTCTACCACTTAATGACACTCACCTACCAAAATCAAGGGCAGCCCTTTAAATCCAGGATCTGGGTCTCTTTTACTGAAAACCTTGAATCCAGCACACCTGGTATTTTAATGCATATGGATTAATGGAATTGGATATTTTGCATTCTTCTTTTGATGCATGATCTGAATCTATGATTATGAATTTAGATTCCGAGTACATAAAGTGTATTTGTTCTTCTGCTGAGCTTTGTAAATATGGGCAGCGGAGGAGGCGAGGAGACTTGTCTATGCTTGGATTGGGGAGAAGACTATTTGTATTGCTTGCAATGGTCATACTGGTCTGATCATTTGAGAATTAACGCTGAACTGCCTGCAGATTATTGCAGCTCTATATTTATTAATGCATCATTGTGTGTGAAGCTGCCCGGCTTCCTGATACCGGAAGTATCGGGCTAGGCATTGTAGCATTCGGGCGACTATATATCACTCCCTCCTACACTTGCGATTATATAATAAGTGCTGCCGTCCATTTCATTACTAAATTGCTACAAGAACTGTGAGCTCTCTAATAAAAGTTTACGCTTGCGCTGGGTTATGGCTATAAAATTCAGCCCCCACAGACATGTGCGTACCAGCCTGCTGAATATCATCAGACCTCGGCTTGGTTACAGGCAAGACAGAAGCACTTCCAGAATGAACAGCTTCCGTAGGGCTCCTTGTCTTCCATACTGCGGGCAAGAGGAGCAGCCAAACCTCACCGTATTGTTTTTATGTTTAGGCGTATTAACCCTTTTGATGCCAGGGCGTATTTTGCACACATGTTATAATCCACATCTTGGGCCTGAAAATTACCTAAAACTCCCAAGAGATATATATTTCCTGACCACGTAGAATAAAATGGTGGCGGTTGCAAATTATATTAGTGCAACTCTATCAAACCCGAGATTTTAGCAAAAATTAAACCAATGTTAATTTTAGTGCACGAAAACACAATATAAATCCCAATTGTTTTGTAAAATATAAAAGATGAGGATGTGTCGAGTAAATAGATACCCAACGTGCCAAGCTTAAAAATACCGCGCCCCCTTGAAACGCCGATAAAATACAGTACCCCATATTGTCCATAGGCGACACTTTTATTATTATTATACAGGATTTATATAGCGCCAACAGCGCTTTACAATATAAGGAAGACATTACAATCACAATAGAATTCAAGACAAGATGGTAAGGAGGGCCCTGCCCCTGAGGGCTTACAATCTAAAAGGGAGGGGCAAGTGATACATGAGGAGGTAGCTGTGTGGGGATGAAGTGTGATGGTTCACTGGTTAGGTTGAGGTGGGATAGGCTTCCCTGAAGAGATGAGTCTTTAGGGAACGCCTAAAGGCAGTCAAGGTGGGAGATAGACGGACAGGTTGGGGTAAAGAGTTCCAGAGGATGGGAGAGACTCTAGAGAAGTCCTGGAGGTGAGTATGGGAGGAGTTGGCGAGGGAGCTGGAAAGCAGGAGGTCTAGGGAAGAGCGGAGTGGACGGTTAGGGTGATATTTTGAGACAAGGTTTGAGCTATAGGCGGGGGCAGAGTTGTGGATGGCTTTGTAAGTGACTGTTAATATTTTGAATTTTATCCTCTGGGCGAGTGGAAGCCAGTGCAGGGATTGACAGAGGCGAGTTGTAGACTAAGCGGTTGGTCAGGTGAATGAGTCTAGCAGCTGCATTCTTGATAGACTGAAGGGGGGAGGAGCCTGTGTAGTGGAAGGCCAATGAGGAGGGAGTTGCAATAATCAAGACGAGATATAACTTTTAGGCCAGGTTCACACCTGGGCGAGCCCGGATTAAGAGCAGCCCCATCGATTTCAGTGGGGTTATATCCACGTGGCAATCGCTTAAAAAAGGGTGTGACTGGGGTGCCATTAGAAAAGAATGGCACCACCAGTGCAATCAGCGGTTTTGTGCGATTCCATGACCACGCGGCCATACGCACCGTTTTGTGCACGATTGCCGCTTGGTCACATATCGCCTAAGTGTGAACCGAGTCTAAAAACCCGTACAAGTCATCAATTTATAGTTATCCATGAATGTTTGCCCTAGAACTATTGTTCTCACTCTGGCGCACGTGGTGATACCCAACATGCATTGCACAATCGTCATTTTCTTACATAGGTTTACCCGAAATATGGTTACGTTAGTATGCGCATATTTTTGTAAGCACAATTACACAACCAGGAAACCAGACAACCAGGAAACAAGACAGAAACCTAAAGTGCAGGTTTAAAAAAAAAAGGAGTTTATTGTAAACAATAAACATAAATGACAAAAAAACAATGGAGAAAGTCTAGGACGTAGTCGATGCCAAGCCAGAGGTCAGATGCCAAAGCAGGTGGGCAGCTGAGCCAGGTCAGAGAACACTGAGAGCAGGATGAACAGAAACAAAGCCTGAGTCAGGACGCAGGAGATCAGTCAACCAGAGCCAGGGTCATACACAGAGAACAGGAACAACTGCAGAGCACTTGGTAAACCAGAGCACACGCAAGTGCGGGGACTGAATGGACATGCTGATGGTTAAATAGTGAACTGCTGTTGCATCATCATTCTGAGACAGGAATTTGTGAGGAGTTTTGTTAGAAGTTGCAGAATGATGATGTTTACGGGTTTGGTCATAAGAGGGCATCACAGAGCAACAGCAGTGTCAGACATACTGCAAAACAAGCCATGCTGCAGCCAACTGGAGGAGAAAGGGTAAAAGAAACCCTGACAAGCAGATCTGCAGATTTTGTATCCACTTTTAAATAGTTGCAAACTCAAAATTGTGAAGGCTTGCTATCCTATGGGGAACACTGAGAACTCGTAATTGTGGTACCCTGAAAAATCTACCTTGTATCTTGAATTTCTCCTGAAAAAATAACTTCCTGAGCCTGGGCACTCAAGCTCTGCATCCTCATAACCTCATCAACTATCCAAAAATGAGCAACTCAAACTCATTTATTTGTTGTTATGATGGAAGGGGTGAGCAGGAAATACTTTACATTATACATTTATTTGATTGGCAGTGTTGACCCTTTTTTGTTCTTGTTCGCTAACTCTTTATTTTTCCCCCCAACAGATCCTTGTCTATCACCCAGAATTCATGAAGTATGTCTACGACCGATGGTTGATGCATCACGGCCGGTACCCCTCCACAGGGCTTCTAAGTGTAATATTTGCTCTTCACATCTGCGATAAGGTGATACATCGATGTCACATGACCTCATGGCTATCATTAGGGCGATATCATACATTGTTCATGTGTGATAGTGAATACAGTAATACTTCATGAACAGGATGTTGAAAAACAGCCAATCAATAAACTGACATAGGTTAAAGGGACCCTATTAGGTTAGGAATGAGCTGCCCCCCCCCCCCCCCCCCCCCCCCTCCTAACTGTTGTGTTTCCCTTGTAGACCAATTTTTACTGATTCGGCAATCACTTTGACCTGTCGTTCATAATAAAACATTACCCAAGAGTCTGTTCTCATCACTCAGCGTTTGCTGAACCAGAATCCCTGCCTGTAGACAGCACTCATTCAGCTTCTGAGCCCCCAGCAGATGGTTGTACCAGCTTCAGTTGAGTTATCTCTTTGACAGAGTTTCCAGTTCATGACCCCATTGTGGATTCCCACTCCTGTGCTGTCCTCGGAAGACTCACTATTCCGGCAAATTATTTGGAAAATCTAGCAGAGAGTGTATGGCCCTCTGTGGGCAGGTGGGCAGAGCTGTGAACTTACAATGATGGTTCTCAAGAGGTGAAAGAATCTAAAGGTTATAGTGAATGAAAACCCTAATTGAGTGAAATTATTAGTAGCTAAGGCAATGTGTACCATAAACAATTGCCCTTTTTTAATGCTTGTCTTCATCCTTTGCTGCATCTCAGTGTTGCTGATCCCTTGCAGCTTGTTTTCCTGTCTACATGCACTCTAGCAATGGTGACATGGCATTTCTGATGATGGGTTTCCTAATGGTGACCACAGCAGGCCATGCCTGTATGTGTTGGACAATCTAGAAGATATGTTGTCTGCACACCATTCTGCTTTGGAATGTCATCTTTATACGTATTCCGTTAGTGAGTGTAACGTTTCAGAGCCTCACAGGACCCCTTTGTCATGAAAAGAGTTGAACACCTTGCCTGACGAAGGCGGTCCTGTGAGGCTCTGAAACGTTCCACTCACATGTCATGCTAAAGGAATATGAATAAAGATGGCATTCCGAAGCAGAATGGTGTGCGGACAACATATCTTCTAGATTGCATGTTGTGGCGCCATCCACCAGTTGTTCCAGCACCCGTTGGATCCTGGGGTAATTCGGTACAGTGTGCGAAGGGGATATTACAAAGATGTATGTGGGGACAGCCACTTATGCAGTCTCAGTCGAAAGTGCATGTGACCAACACACAGGGTGACAACACAGGACAGCACAACTAGGGGACTAAGTGTTCACCCTACAAAGAGGAAGTGCTTGAGGTTTAAAGATACTAAAAGTCCTTCACATTCTTAAAAATTCGATAACGTTTCCATAGTAAAATGATTATGGCTTATCTATAGTGGTACTGTGACCACTGTCATTCTGGTTGAGCACTGCTTCTTCTGCTCCCACCTCCTGTCAGTTAAAGACCTTTGATGGGCCAGGAGGCATGGCTTCCTGTAGAATTTCTAACTACATCGGGCTTCAAAAACAAGGTATCCAGTATTCCGAATGCGGTAGCACGTACAGCAGATGGACTATAACAGTGGTCACAGGGCCACTATAGATGAGCCATAATTATTGACACAAATTAGAAACCATGGTTAGCATTGTCATCTGCTACCTGGAAGAGGAGCATGCTGGGAGAATCAACTGCTATTTCCACATGCTTCTCAAAGAATTATAGCAATAAAGGCAGCAAACTTAGATTGAGAACAGTGAGAAGAACCTTTAAACAGAAATCACATTTTGGGTTCGCATCTACTTTCATTAAGCCCACCAACATCTAACCAAAACTGAAAGTTTAGTTCTATGCAGGCTGAAACCCATATCAGACAAGTGCAATAATAAAGTGACTTACAGTATGTAAGGTTAGGATCCCTTTAAAAATGCCTGGAGTTGATGTGTTCCTTCCATCTACACAGGTGGACTTGTACGGATTCGGAGCAGACAGTAAAGGAAACTGGCACCATTACTGGGAGAACAATCCATCTGCGGGAGCTTTCCGCCAAACCGGAGTCCACGATGGCGATTTTGAGGCAGACATCATAGGCAATTTAACTTCTATTAAAAAAATTAACATCTACAGGGGAAGATGACCCCCCAAGTGAATGGAAAACTGTGATTGATGATTTCACTACTTAAACATGTTTTACTCTTAACACTTCCTGGGAAGACTGCGTGTTTCTTCGGAGACCCGATGGATCATTTAGACATTGGCTGTTTGAATCACTTCCGGGATTTAGAACTTCAAGTTAAAAAAGAAGAGCTATAATAATGGTCCTTTTCATTTTATCGTCAACAGCAGCCACTTGGGCCAGATGACCACGTGTTAAGGGTCTGATGGACTTGGTTTGACCATGCTTCATTAAGGAAATGGACTTTGATTCATAATGAGTGCAATCAGTTAAACTGGGGTAACAGGAACCACATGTACTGTTCGTCATTTTATCAGATAATACAACCTGATTGATGAAGAAGGGGAAAAGTGTCCGGTGTTTCCTGATGTGTGAAATGTTTTACTTATACAATAATAACGCCTGATTTTTTTTTTTTTTTATTTGGTAACACCCAATTTTATTTTTTAATGGTCAAAAAAAGCAAAATGTAGGTTGTCTTACGGACAACCTTGAGAAAAGCTAGAAAGTCTGGTATTGGCCCTCTCATGTTTGGAACAGTAGAACATTCAAGTTTTCACGTTATTTTATATGTTTACAAAAAACACCAGACCCCTACCCCAAGCATATGGTAAAATAGACCTTTAGCTAGAAGGCCAGAGAGCTGTGGAAGTGGTTGCAACTACACCAGTCCACTGGGGTAGAGGGTAGGTAACTTCCCTGCCTTGAGGGATAATGACAGCGGGAGAACTACTCAGTTCACTGGCTTTTGACGCAACAGGACCATTGTGTTCCTTGGCAATAACAGCTAAACTATACAGATAACCGTAATGTGGACAACATCCATGTTCTTGGAGATCAACGAAAGTCACTTTTTGAAGACCTAAAGAGGAATACATTTTGCTGAATATTGTTTGAATTCACTGTATACTCTTGGTTGTCCTCTGACCTTCTTTATTGGTGGAAAGAAGTTAAAGAACTACAAATAAGTTTAAGGAAGCCCTAAGCCTGGAATGTTCACACGATGGTCCATTTTCTTCTTCATTACTTGAGTAGGTAACTTCTGGGTCCTGCTTGGACCAATAGAAAGTTATCTCTTGCTGTTTTCCGTCATTTTGTACTCTTTGAATTCGATGCTGGAACAATTTAAGAGTTTGCTACTTTTTTATTGGGGACCGTAACTGTTTGAACTTGATTTCATTTGTACGGTGATTTTATACTTTGCATTATTTTATATAGGTAACGTATGGTCAACCTTTTGTTTCCCATTACCAAAGGAGCTCTCAAGTTCTCTTAAGGTATATCCAGAATATGAAGTTTTGCATATGTGTATATATAATTTTAAGAGGTATTTTATGCACTTGGGGCTATTTTGGTAACAGTGCAAAGAACCATGGTGAGCGATAGCCCACGGTAACCAATGACCTTACTACAGTGAGCTGCTTAATCCTTTTTTTGATTGGTTAATGTGGGCTTCATATTGTTGCACTGTGGTGTTAAATCGAACGGTTGGTGTATTCAAAGTGTGGGTCTGCAGTCTGCAAAGAAATTGTATTTTTGCTTTAAAGCTTTTACTTAGTTTTCTTAGTACAGCATAATTTATTGTTGGGAATTATGGGTAATTCTCATTGGTACCACTAAGCTTTGTAGTATTTTTTTCTAAAATATAAAGGGGGAAATGAAGGGTGCTGATAATTTATTGTAGGGCCTTAAAAACTTGATAATGCTTTCAAAGTATTAGAATGTGTCTTTTTTTAGGATAGTTTTTGATACATCTTACTGTTCTTTTAAGTTATTGATGTTTGTATTCTAAACAGGGATAAGCGGTTAAAGTTGTCCTGTACATGGATTTTTCTTTTCTTTCGAACGCTGTGCCCAATTAAAATTAATGGGCTTGAGAATTAGTAAAAAAACTCAAAGTTACAGGGAATCCTAGAAGCAGTGTTTAATACATGTGGGATTTAGTGAGCCATCCAGTACATCCTGGGAGCCAATAGGCAATGCCTGGGGAACATGAAAGGAAGGGAAAGCCTTAAAGTGGACCTTTACACTCAAAAACCAATTCTACCAATGCATCCCTCTCTGTATGATGATCAATAAAAACGGCCACGTCCCCTCCTGCCCCACGTCCCCTCCTGCCCCACAACATAGTGAGCCGGCTGCAATGCGATGCAGTGCGTTCTGGCAAGAATCGGGCCAGAACGCATTGTCTCTGGTGTGAACGAGGCCTCAATGTCAATCAGTTCACCCAAGATTCACACATTCATCCACTTTCTAACAGAATCTTTTTTAAAGGTGAATCTGGGGTGAAAATTGTGTGAATTTTGGTTGAAAACATTGATAAATAGACCCCTTAATATAAAGGATGCTCAGTTGACAGAGCACGCTGTGCTTTCTGTTGAGAGTCATCAGCGTGTTGGCAGACTGTGAACAACTAAACAAGACAGTCCCTTCTCTGTAAGGGGAGAAGGAGGGAACATGAGTCATTTGGCAGTCTTTGTAATTTGTCCTAGTGGTGAAGTCTATTTCAAAGCATAGTTGTAAAGGAACAAAGAGTTGAGCAAGCAGGTCTTCTGGCGTGAAATGTACAACCTGCTGGCTTCACAAGGAAGTATTCATATGTAATATTTTATAATATCCCAATTTTAATAAAATATGGGAAAATATTTAAAAAATGTACCTGATGTTACAGAGATACATAGTCAGGTTGAAGTTTTACAAGTCCATCGACTTGTCGTCCATGAAACAGCTATACCTTTAAGGTGACTACGATAACATAATTGCTTATTAAGAGTCTTCACACCTAGATCCTAGGCATGTGGAAGCCTTTGAAAGCACAGCAGTAAATATGAAGTAGCCAGCCAATTCTCCCAGAACATTCCCCATGTTTAATGGACCTGCAGTCATATCATTAATGAAGCAAAAAACATCCCATGCATGGCCCATTATTTGCAAAGGTTGAGGCTTGAGTACAGGAGTGCATTTCCTCTTGAAGCCCTATAGCGAAGAGTATGAAAGGTCAAGTTGGCCATATACCAGTTGAATTTTGTGTGTATGAATGTTCATATGAGAATCTACCAGTGAATGGCCAGCTTTAGTCTAGGAATTGATGATCACTATACCAAAGGATAAGTTTGGCTTTATTATAATAATGTACCATGCGTTAAATATATTGAGGCCGATTTACTAAGGGTTTGAGAAGGTTCACACAAGAAAAAGAGTGAAGATGGACATCAATTATCCAATCATGTGAAAAGCAAATTCTGATTTATTTATTTAATCTGCATTTAATTGGATCATTGAAGTCAATCTTCACTCTTTTTTGTGAACATTCTTTAGTAAATCAGCCTCACTGTGTCCAGGGCTTACCAGTATCTTGTAAAACATACTGGGCTTGTAGGCCATAAGCCATAGGAGGCCCACAGGCTGCCCAGTGTTGGTGTCCACGATGAGTGTGTTGAAGTTGGTTATCACTTTTACCTTTAATCAGTGACCACTACCAGAGGATATGTACTCTTGTACCTTTTTATTTGTGTTTTGCTTTTGTTTTTTTTTAATCAAAGTTTGCACAGAATTACTCAAACATTTATAGTATTTGAGGAAACTGATTGTAGCATTATTATTATTATTATTATACAGGATTTATATAGCGCCAACAGTTTGTGCAGCACTTTACAATATAGGGAAGACATTATAATTACAATACAATTCAAGCAGGGGCGTAACTACAGATCATGGGGCCCTATAGCAACATGTTTAATAGGGCCTCATGGCAAACCCTTTAAAATCTAAATCAAGAACAAGTAGCAGGAGACCTGTCTGCATAGTCTCTTCCTGTACATATGATATCAGCTCTTCTTGATTGGAAATGCCATAAGGAGTACAGGTTCAACAGCAACTTCAGCAATCCTTCATGGGGCCCCCTTCCACCCCCAGCCCCCATAGCAGCCACATGGGCTGCTGTGGCTATTGTTACACCCCTGAATTCAAGACACGATGGTAAAGGAGGGCGCTGCCTGTGAGGGCTTACAATCTAAGAGACATCTTGTGAGCTTAGTTTGGCCTAGCCCAGATCAGGATCAGGTATCCTTCATAGCTCCTAGATTATAATTCAAGGGTTCTTTATGACTAAATTGGCTACAGACTGTATTAGACTTTTAGCTTTTGCTACGTTTTAAGCAATTCTGAATTCATGTTTCAATTTTACATTTTTGTTGTTGTTACAAGTTTTCTGAATGTTAAACCAAGGGCCAAATCAAAGTAATTTATGCCTATCATCAAACAAGGGCTACTTTATAATTTAAGCCTTATCAACTGTTACCTTGGGTGAATGTTACATTAAATGAGATCCATCTCTTGTAGCCTTGCCTCTCGATAAAATATTTGATACACCAGCCATAAGTTATTATATAGGATGATGTACTTTTTTTTTTTTCTTGTATTCCAAGCTATTGTTTTGGTTTCCTATTTTCTTGGAGACATTGGGGGTGACTTGGTAGTAGTAACAAGCCTTTGGGAATGTTGGAAATGCTTGTATTCCCAAAAAAGGAGCATGACATCTATTGCTCATGCAGCAGAATAAAACATTAATTGAAATTAGGTAAAAGTCATGGTTGGCCCTAGTGGCGGGGAAGTGTAAAAGGTCATAGACTTCCCATCATCCTATGAAAGAATTGCAACCAGGTATGAACAGCCTAAGCCCATCCGAACCGATTGTTTTACTGGGATTTTTGGAGCCTGGAAGGTCTTACAATTTGTAGAAAAGCCTGTCCCCTGCCAGCATGCTGTAGCATCCTTTTCTACAGCATGCTGGCAGGGGACAGGCATTTCTACTCAGGCTTTAACTGCGTTCTACAGAAAACAAGCTGGAAGGCCTTGTTTTAATACAGGTGAAATTATTTTATCTGATTTAAACTGAAAGGTCAGTTGGGCTTTGAATGGCTTTTCCACTCAGCTAATTCCAGTTACCCCATCTCTAGAGA